CGAGGTAAGAAAAATTGTATATTTTCAATAAATCGTATCAACACACATTAACATCCTGTGTACAAGACTCGATTAGGCATTTTTCTATTTCTTTTAAATGATTATCTAATAATAATATATTAACCACGAAAAGTAACTGATATATTATTAATCCTAACATATCATTAAAATGAAAAGGTCAAGCCATGTTCAAAAATAGATCCTCGCAAATTAAAAAACCCAACAAATTTAAACCTTTGAAAACTAACCGCAAAAATTTGATCCTTCCTAAATTAAAACGATTACCTAACCACAAAATAGAAAACCCAATAAATTTCAACCTTTGAAAATTATCCCCAAAAATTTGAACTTTTCTAAATTAAAATGATTATCTAATAATGTAACATAATAATTTAAACTTTAATACTTTAAATGATATTATCTAATATAATATATGACCACGAAAAGTAACTGATATATTACTAAATGTGCCAGTTCAAAGTGAACATACATTATGTTATTTTCTATGTTATGTACCACGAAAAGTAAATGAAAACTACAAAAATTGAACCTATCAAAATTAAAACGATTACCTAATCACAAAATAAAAAACCCAATGAATATCATCCTTTGAAAATTGACCCCAAAAATTTGTACCATTCTAAATTAAAATGATTATCTAATAATGTAACCTAATAATTTAAACCTTTAATACTTTAAATGATATTATCTAATATAATATATTACCACGAAAAGTAACTGATATATTACTAAATCTGCCAGTTCAAAGTGAACGTACATATAACGAATATTTTCTATGTTGAATATGTACCACGAAAAGGAACTGATAGATTATTCAAGGTGAAAATTCAAATTGAACATACATACATATAAGTAAAACAGATTACAATTTGTATATTACAGTTTTCTAGAAAATAACTGCAATATGTTATTCTTAGTGCACAAAATATAAAAGTTGGTTATTGAGATTTAATTTGAAATTTATACTAGACCGTACAATAAAAAATAATTGCTTGTAATTTCAGAGTATCAATTTGTTAATGACTCAAAAAAGAACATGGCGGCCTGCTCTCAAACTTTGATGAGTTTCTCGATGTCAAAAGTAATGTCAAAACTATTACAGAGTAGGTATAACAACACATGAAATACAAAAAGTATTGCATTAGAACCGTATCTTTAAAAGCTCTATAACGAAGTGAATACACAGAATTATGTAGAAATGTAGAATTTTTTAATTTTAATCTTCTTTAATTTTTATTTCTCTCTCTGCCAATCAATGGTTAAAGCGAATATTTAAATTAATCATTATCGAAACACTGTTACATTTTGTAGCACTTTGTGAACTGCTTTTAATCTAAACTATTTTCATAACTTTTACTTCAACTATTTGTTTCATCCATCGGAAGTTTTTTTTTTTCTCGCGCTGTTGTCGTTTCGCGTGGTATCGGTCGCGTTTGTCGGCTTTGCGTCGTTCGGTGGGATCTTTCTGTGTCTCTATTGCTGGCCTTAGATTATATTATTCTGTCGTGTTGTTTTGCGAATTGAGTCAAGGCTGTCGATGATATTGACTCTCTTCATACTGACGTTTAGTTTTCGTATAGCGACTTTGACATTAGGGGAAGGTTTACAGCGAGCACGTCTATTAGAGTTTATTTTTGTTTTCGTACAGCTCCTTCGAGTTTCGTATAATATTTCGGCCGAAAAAAAATTATTGTTTAGAAAATGACGGATAGAAGTGTGCGATTTGAGTGGATTTATCAGCTGACCGCGAGTCAGCTGAGGGACGAGTTGGTGTCTCTCGGCTCGTCTCGGGGAGCGCTATCCTTTCAAGAGGGGGGGCGATTTTGGAGAGCGTGCTTGCTGTGGACTTTCCGATTTAACCGCGGAACAAGGGCGGGAATTAGAAAATGTTTTGGAGGATAGGCTATCGAATGCGATTACGAATTCCGGTGTCACCTCTCTCACGGAGCATCATATTGACGTTGGTTCGCATCGACCAATAAGATAACGTTGTTATTTAGTTTCGCCGAAGGTGCGGGATGCTATTCGCGGGGAGGTTGATGAAATGTTAGAATCCGGTATAATTGAAGCTTCCTTTAGTGAGGGGTCAAACCCGATAGTAATGGTTAAGAAATCGAAGGGGAAATATCGTTTCTGTTTGGACTTTCGTAAGATGAATGGTATATCAAAGAAGGACGCGTACCCGTTACCAAAAATGACAGGGATACTTGATAAATTAAGATCTACGCGGTACATCTCGACGATCGACTTAAGCCAGGCGTACTTTCAAATACCGTTGGCGAGGGAGAGTCGCGAGATAACAGCGTTCAGTGTTCCGGGTAAGGGCTTGTATCACGCGGATGCCGTACGGGCTTATGGGAGCCCCGGCTACTTTTCAAAGATTATTAGATAAATTAATTGGCCCGGAAATGGAGCCTTACACGTTCGCGTACTTAGATGATATCGTGATCGCGACACCGACCTTTGAGGGACACATGGAGTGGCTCGAGCGAGTCTTAGATAAAATTTTTAAAGCGGGTCTTCAAATTAATCCCGATAAGTGCGAATTTTGTCGTTCTCAAGTCAGATATCTGGGATTTGTTGTGCAGCGGAACGGCCTGACTGTCGATTCCGATAAAGCACGACCTATTCTAGAATATCCAGTACCGCGTAATCTTAAGCAATTGCGTCGGTTTTTGGGAATGTCTTCTTGGTATCGTAGATTTATCCCACAGTTTGCTACCGCGAGTGAGCCATTAACTAGGCTGTTGAAAAAGAAACAGAAATGGGAGTGGGGGAATGAACAAGAAATAGCATTCGAAGAAATTCGTGCTCGTTTAGCTGTCGCGCCTACTTTATCGTGTCCGAATTTTGACGTTCCATTCGTTTTACAAACAGATGCTAGTTCCGTCGGGTTAGGTGCCGTGTTAACTCAGAATATCGAGGGAAACGAAAATATTATAGCGTTCGCGAGTCGCGCATTAATGGCCACAGAAGCGAGATACTCTGTCACGGAACAGGAGTGCTTGGCTGTTGTGTGGGCGATAAGAAAATTTAGACCGTATCTAGAGGGTTATCAGTTCACCGTTTTGACCGATCACAGTAGCCTACGGTGGCTTCATCATCTGAAAAACCCTACGGGAAGATTAGCACGGTGGGCGCTGGAACTCCTGGAATACGATTACGAGATCGTACATCGGAAAGGAGCGCTGCATAAAGTGCCGGATGCTTTATCGCGAATGTATGAGAGTGACGCCGGAATAGAGGGGGAGACTGTCGACGCGTGTTTGGCCGCGGTAGATGGGGGGAAGGCTTTAGAAGACACAGAGGATCCCTGGTATCGAAAACAGTTTCGGGGAGTTTCGGAAAAGCCTGAGCTTTTTAAAGGTTGGAAAATAATAGATGATCGGTTATACGTTCGGCGCCCTCACATGGTCACCGCCGCGGTTGTTGAGGATTTGAATGAATGGAAGTTAGTTGTGCCGCGGGAATTGCGAGCGGAAGCTTTACGCGAGTCACATGATATTCCGCAGTCGGGACATTTAGGCGTGGAAAAGACGCATTATCGGCTCTCGATGGCCTATTACTGGCCCGGTATGTTTCGCGATACTGCAAAGTACGTCGGGCAGTGTAAAGTATGTCAGAGTACTAAAGTCGAGCAGGCGAGCCCTGCGGGCCTCATGGGAAGAAGGGTTATCGAGGCTCCATGAATGGTCGTCGCTGCGGATATTATGGGGCCGTTACCGCGAAGTAAGTCGGGTCACGCATATATTTTAGTAATGCAAGACTTATTCACGAAGTGGGTAGAATGTCGTGCATTGCGGGCCGCGAACGGAAAGAATATTAAAGAAGCTTTTACTGATTTAATTCTCTTGCGGTGGGGCACGCCAAAATTTATATTAACCGACAACGGCACGGAATTTGTAAATAGAGTGATGCGGGAGTTCGCGCGAGAAAACGGAATCACGCACACTACATTACCGCCGTATCATCCTCAAGCTAACCCCGTAGAGAGGGTAGAGTTCTCAAAACTATGATCGTTTCGTTTCTAGATCGTGACCACCGCGAGTGGGATGTCCATTTGAATGATTTCCGCTTCGTTTATAATACGGCGTATCATTCATCGATCGGATCTTCGCCTGCCTTCGTGAATTTAGGTCGAGAGTTAGAGCTTGGGGATTCTCTGCATAAGCGATGTGACCCGACGGTAGAGGGTCGAACCTCGCGACGTGAGGGAATGGTCGGAGAGGATGAGAGAAGTGCGATCGTTGGACGCGTGGGTGGAGGAGAATTTGGAGGCCGCGTATCAAAAGCAGGCTACTTATTATAATCGGCATAGGCGGAATCGTGTTTTTAGTGTTGGCGACCTAGTGTGGAGACGGCGGAACACGCTGTCGTCTGCAGCTCAGGGGATAGCTGCAAAATTGGCACCAAAATTTCAGGGACCTTTTAGAATTACTTGTGTTGTGTCGTCGTTAGTGTATGAACTTGTCGCTCTTGATGGAACTGCTGCAGGAAGGGTCCACGTCAAGGACTTGAAACCGTATATCGCCCCGGATTAGATGAATCAGGTTAGATGTCCTCAATGATTTCCTTCCTTTGCTTTTCCCTTAGGCTGTCGAACCTTTCTTTTTTCTCTCGTTCTATCGGTCTGGGGGGGTGGCGACTCAACCGCGTGCCTTCTTGTAGCGGCGAAGTCGGGTATTGTTTCGTATTATTCTGTATCGTTTGTGTCGTCTCGTATTGTTTCGTCTTGTGCTATACAAGGTAACGTGTTCTCGTATTCTTTCGTCTTGTGCTATACAAGGTAACGTGTTCTCGTGTTCTTTTGTCTTGTGCTATACAAGGTAACGTGTTCTCGTATTCTTTCGTCTTGTATTGTACAAGGTAACGTGTTCTCGTATTGCTTCGAGGTAACAGAGTCTCGTGTTGTTTTAATTATTATTTATGTCGCTACTCTGTCGCCGGGGCTTGGATCCGGCTATTCCGGCGAGAGAGGGAGCGAAGTTGTGGGTGGGGCCCGTTATGTGGTATTTTCTCGTTGTTCGCTCCTTGAGTTGACTAGCGGCAGTGAAAATTAAAAGAAGTAAAGGCAGTGAACATATGGCGAGTACTATGGTGGCGGATGACGCTCGTCAAGAACTCCTCGGTCTGTTTTAAGGAGGGGGGAGTTGTGACATGACATTTTGTCAGTCACCCAGAGAAACAGTATAACGCGAGATCCTGGGTCCTTCAGGGTCAACGAGCGAGCGCACAAGCGAATGTGCGACATTATTTATTATTCTTATTTCCTTTTTGCGATTATTGTACTACTTAATTTTATTCTTTTTCTTGCGATTATTGTATTATTTTTCTTTTTTTTTTCTTGTCGCTATTTAGTTAAGTTTTAGTTAATATTAAGACGATCCTGAGCTCGGATTTTGCCGGTAATTCACGATCAGAGCCGGTGGCTACGCTGTATTCTTGTGTTCGGCCGCCTCACCTATCGCTAGAAGAGAGAAGACGTCGCCTCCCACGAGGAAGAGATTGCTGTATGAAGAATTTGGCTGAAGTCACGAGAAGCGCGGCACACGCAGGTCGTATTATTTCACATTTGTTATTAATGTCGCTATTATTTGGTGGATTATTGCACCCTCATTGCAGGCGCCTCGGAGAGAGACGTCAGCTGGGAACGGACTCAAAGGCAGAACATCCGCCGAAGCACCGTGTCCCACAACGATCGATGGAAGATCATCAAGCGACAACGAAGCATTTTCCGACTTTTGGAAAAGCGCGCCACAACGTAAAAGGATCCGCGACACGCAAGGATTCGTCGCGGGGTCACGCGGTCGCGGCGAGCCAATTAGAGCAAGCAGAGGCCGATAAGAGAGGGC